AATCCCGAAATAGCTATTCTGAATCTTCACAGCAAGCCCATTATTTCAAGCGCCCTATTCTGATGTCCCTGTAAACCTCATTCTAGGAGGAGTAAAGGACATTTCAGAATAGTGCTTTATTTCAATATTTGGCCCTGTGTAGATAGCGCCAAATGATGAAATAAGCTGTTTTGAAATAGCATCAAAATAAGATACGCAATTTTCATAGCTCAAATTGTGTATCTTATTTCTACTTAGGTGAAGTGTAGGTACACCCTGAGGCTACATCTACTCTGCAGCACTACTTTGGGATAGTGGAGGTATCCCAAAATAGCTATTCTATGTCTTTTGAGTGCAACCATTATTTAAAAATATAACAGGCTTGCTATTCCAACATTCCTGTAAACCTCATTTCACAAGATGTAAGTGACATTTCGGAATAGAGATTTATTTTGAAATAAGTGCTGTGTAGACAGTTCCAAATTTCAAAATAAGCTATTTTGAAATTGACTGGAAATAAGCAAGCCAATTTGCATAGCTCAAATTGTGTAGCTTATTTCAAATTATGGTTGCAGTGTAGATGCCCCCATTGCCCTGTATTGCCCCTCCCATCCCCAGTTCTCTATTATAGATTTGACTTTATCCTGCCTCAGGTGGGGGGCGGTGTCAACTGGGACCCTCCTCATGTCCATAGTAGTGAGTCCCAGCAGCTCAGACAATGCAAGATGGAGCCCCTTAGGGGAGAGAACAGGTCCAAATGACCACGGAGACCTTGGCGATCAATATAGGGCAGGTGCGGTGTGTTGGCTGGCTGCAGTGTGTTTATTTGTGGCTTCTAGCAGGGAAGGTATGGGAGGGAGCAGGTTAGCTCCCTCTTAAAATAATGCTGCCCACAAAGGGGCTGTCCAGAGCTTAGCACAGCGGGGCCCTCTCTCGGGAGAGACCTGTAGGTGCTACTGTGATCAGAAAACGGTGGCCAGGACTATTGCGGAGATCACAGAAAGCGCAGTAAGTGCTAAAAGCCAGAATGAGGCACGTTGCGAACAGGCAAGAGCCGCAGAAAGACAGAACTTCGGCCGAAAACCCGGGAAAGTGTTTTCAGGGCGCTTATCGCTAACGCGCCTGAGTGAGCGTCTGCCGGGCCAGGACAGCTTGCCCAGTACAGTGGGTCTCCCTTACGCCAGTCTAACACCTGCTAACACTTAGCACCCACACCCAGAGCGTCTCTAATGGGCAGCATGTGACCTTCGGCGCTGGCTAGTCCCCTTCTGGGGGCAACAAGGGGCTTCTCCCCCTGCGCTCCGTTTGCGCTCACTTCAGCACCGAGCTCTGCGGGAAAGCCCCAGCAGCTGTTCAAGATGCACCCACCGTGGGCAGCCTCCACGCCGCTGCTTTCGTGGAGAAGCCGCTCTCAGCATCGTGCGCCCCGAGGCACTGTGCGGACAACCTGTCTTCTTCTCTGCATCCCACACCGCCTGCCCAGCCGCTGTTCTTCTCTGAATGGTTTCCAAGAGCGGTGCCTAGATGAATAACAGACGAGTTCACGCAGGGGCTGTGGAGTTTGAGAACTGGGCCCGCTCCCTTCTGAGGTCCCACGGTCCAGGCCGTGTCTAAACGGCTGGTATCCTTAAAATAAGGCGCAAGCAATCCCCGTTTTTATGCAGAACTCCTCAAAGACAAGGGCACGTTTAGAAAAATTAGGTGAGAAGACGTGGCCCCAAAGTTATTATATCAAATAATGAGTTCTGCGGTCGACCACGTGCCTTTGAGGTTGACTTTATAATGGTGCACGTGAGAGACGCATAACTTAAGAGAAATAAACTTTAGATCAGCCAGCACGCTAGTTGGCGTTTAATATAGAGTATACACTTCAAAGCAGGCTAGTCACATTAGCAGTGAACTAAAAAGAAAGGTTGTTAACTATGAACTCTCTTTGCTTGGACTGACTCAAAGAGCGTAATTTCCCCTCCCTGCTCTTTCAGAGAACAGAATGCGAATTGTAGACAAAACATAGAACAATGCTACAAGCTTCAAATGATTATTTTGCTTATATTGATCTTGTAGCGTCTGCACTGCCGTTACAGTCCTCTATTTAAAAAAAGTCTTGCTCTGTAAACTGAGCCCAGAATGTACGTTTATAGCGACAGTATTAGTAATAACATTCTATACTTTTTACAAATCTCATGCTTCGTTAGAAGCGTGTAGGTTAAGAGTTACCTCCTTCACAGAAACGACAAACAAAATATATGCCCCAAAAGAAAAAAGAAAAGGGGAAAAAGTCTTATTTAATCCAGAAAATAAATTAAAATCTCGTGTATTTTTATTGGTTTTAGTATCCAGCAGAGTGAAAATATTGAAACTCCGAGACCCCTTGAGTTAAAAAGTCACAACTGTTCTATTTTATTAGTTCTGACTGTGTGAAAAAAATTATAAGGACAACATTGAAAAAAACCCGGGTTTAGAGCCCCGAATGGCTATAAAAACAATAAAATCAACTATAAAACCTGCACTAGTGATATTAAAAAAATTATGCACTTCAATAAATGTGACATTTCATGAATGTGGGTTTAATAGTTTTCAACCTACAGAAAAGAGAATGCTAAGGTCTAACAATTGGATTTGAAAGCTGCGGTGTAGTAGAAGTGCAAAATTAAGTGCTTCATTTTTCTTGTTAGGGATTATGCAGTGGTAGTGGAATGTAATAACTGTGCCATTAAAACTTCCTTTTAACAAGGCCTATTGCTTGTATAAAAGTCAGAAAAGAATAATCTCTTCCTCTATTTGTTTTCCAATAATACAGCAAAACATGGAGGTTTCTCGGTTTAAACTTGTTCTCAGGGTTTTGAATCCACAGCTTGTAAAATATTGTGGGGCCCAATGTACTGTTGCTTCATATCGTGCACATCGTTATTCTGAAGGGCAGCGGGTCATCAGTTTATTGTACGTTTATTAAATAAATAAAGCTGCAAATCCAACAGTTCCAGATGAAAATATTAGCTAAATCCCATGGAAAAAGCAATTCCTGGGAGACTTAAAACAGAGAAAAAATAATCAAAATTGTCAGTTTAATTTACGTGTACTAGAAATTTACAAGACACAGGCATACACTTTAAAGGTGGGTTTGGCATTTGTTAACAATGAAAACCTCTGTATTATTAAAAATATACATTTCCATTTCACCAACACCCCCTTCCTCCTGTTCTGAGCCTTATTTATTAAGATCTTTGTGGGTTTCAGCTAGAGACCTTTTTTCCCCTTTAATAGCACCTGTTATTATTCCTTACCATCTGAGGTCATCTGTGTCGATGTCACCATTTGTGAACTGAATGTGTGTGGGAGCCAGAGAGTGTACACGGAGAAATCGATCAATCGAAAGTTCTCCCGTATCAAAAGGCATTAATCACTCTATTTCCTGAGTTTTATTCAAATAAAAAACTCAGTGACTCGACGGGAAAAATTTCACCTCCAAAGAAAGGGATTACATTAGAGAACATTATGTGAACAGTTTTCTATAGGGGAGGCGGGTGTGGGGAGTATTCCTTCCAGCACATACTAACTAGAGAGGGTTGGGGAGTAGCAGTCATTAGCTCGGCGAGCATTCCTTTCCTCCACATCTTGAATACACACATTGGGGACGGATCAACGAACTATGTACCGCGTTAAATATGAAGCCGAGGGGATCCAGGTGGCGCTGTTAAAGATGAAAACCATCGCAGGCAGAGGTGCTGCTAGGCGGATAGCTGGGTTTGTTCTTTGCTGATAGCCTGTAGGAAGTTGGGTCCCAGCGCCTGAAATCCCCTTCTGATCCGGTGCGTCTGGCGCCTGGCCCTCTGCAGCCCAGTCCAGCTGCAGGGCTCCAGCCAACCCCTTTGTTGACTTTCCGGGTGGCCGCTAGCTGGCGGCCTGGTGCCCGAGGACTGCGCGTCTGTCGAGGCGTGCAGCAAGAAACATTACTCGCATGCCTAATTCCCGGCCCGGCCCGGCCCGGCCCGGGACTCTCAGCAGCTCGCTTAGGGCCCCGGGAGCCGGGCTGATAATCGTAGCGGCGGGAGACAGGAGATTAAGGAGTCTCTGTAACGACTTCAGCAGCCCCTTGCTCGGATGCTCAGCACGTGTCAAACCAGCCGGGGCTGAGCTGTGTTCTCGCAGCTGCTTGTGGGCCGTCGGCCCGGGAGGGCGCGGCTCTGAGGGCCCCGGAGGCTAGAGCGAGCCCGGGGGCTGTGGGCTTCCCTCCTGTTCCTGCTACACCCGGGCCCGATCCCCTGTCCCAGCGACACCCACCCTGAGAGGGCGACTGCGGACCCCTGCAGGGCGAAGGCCGCTATAGCCGCAGGAGCGCCGTGGCTCCTGGGGCATCCCGCAGGCGCTTTGCTGCCAGGGGTGTTCGCAAACATACGGCACCCACTTCCTCCCCAGCCCGGCCGGGCTGCCCTGGTGAGACAGGGGGAGCCCAGGGCTGGGTAGATAACAGCGGGGGGCTGCGTCTGTCAGAGCCACCCGCATCCAAAGCTAGGAGCGGGAGCCCGCCGGTCACTGGTGCCGGGAACGTGGGCGCAGGGCAGCAATACCCCGCCAAGAGCAGACGGCAGGGCCACAACAGCCATGTCGGCTGGGACCAATGGCCCCGCTAGCCCAGCATCCAGTCTCCCCACGGCGCCAAAGGGAATGACCAGAACCGGGTAATGAATGAATGACCCGCCCCCTGCCCCAGCTTTTGGCAGCCAAAGAGGTAGGGACACCCAGAGCCCGGGTTGCCTGCCCGCCTAATAGCCACAGAAGGCTCCGCCTTCCCTAGCAGCGGCTGATGCTTTGTGGAACCCGGCTGCCCTTGGGTAGGGATCCCGCCCCGCTTCCTTCCCCACTGGCTCCGGGGTCCCTGGGCTCCAGCGCTTGTTGATTGGCGCCGTGGGGAGCTGGCTCAGGGGGAGTGTTTGCCGAGGGAGGTGGCTTTCCCCTCCCTGGACGGGCTCATTGGTTATCGCAGCACTGGCAGGAAGGGGACAGAGACCGGGCGGCCCCGCCCAGCGCCAATAGAAACCTATTGAAGAGTAATCTGAGCCCGGAGAAATTCACTGCTGCGGTGCAGGCTGCAGCCCTGAGGCTGGGGCTGCCGTCGGGAAGGGTGCTGGGGGCGCGTGTCGGGGGGCAGGGAGCCATGCAGTCCCAGCCCCCGGCCTCGGCCCCGGCCCTGGGGGTGAGCGTCCCACTCTACGCGCCCACCCCGCTGCTGCAGCCCGCGCACCCCACACCCTTCTACATCGAGGACATCCTGGGCCGGGGGGCCGCCGCGCCCCCCGCGCCGCACCCTCCCCCTCAGCTGCGCTGTCTCCGGGTTCTCCATCATCCTCCTACCGGACCCCCATCTACGAGCCCACCCCGATCCACCCGGCCTTCTCCCACCATCCCGCCGCCGCCCTGGCGGCGTCCTACGGTGGCAGCGCCTACGCCGGCCCCCTGTATCCTTTCCCCCGGACCGTGAACGACTACACGCACGCCCTGCTCCGGCACGACCCCCTGGGTAAGCAGCGCCGTCCCCTCTCCCCGCTCCGGGCCGCCCCCACTCCGGGGCCGCAGGGTCCCTGCAGGGCTGCGGCGCTTCTGCATTGCTGCTGCTGGGCTGGCAATTGAAAGTCATTGAAACTCTCGCTGGCCTCGGTCTGATTTACAGTAAATGGAGAAGCGCGGGGCGCGCGTCTTGGGAAGGAGACCGCAGCGCGCGCCCGCCGGTGACTCAGATTTGTTTTCCTTCCACTCGGGGTGTCCTGAGTAATGTCGCGTGTGGTTGTGGTGGAGAGTTTTCATTGCGCTCAGAAGGCGCAGGTCAGATCTGAGTCTGGGCCTGCGGGTGACTTAAAACGCTCGGCTGCTGGGTCTGATTTCACGGGCACCCGCGTAGCTCCGCATCGCCAGGGCATCCCCTCTATCAGTCAGACCAAAGTCAGGGCCACTGGGCTATTGCACCCCCCCGGGCGGCCCCTTTTTCTCTCCCCCGCTCAGCAAGGCTGGGATAGCCAGTCTCTTTGGGGGGCTGAGACCTTCAGCAGCCGGCTCCGCGCCTGGAGAGCGGCCGCACTTGTTCGGAGGGATTGCAAAACGGGACCTGACTCACCGACTTTGTGCAGTGAAGGAGGCTGACCCTTTCCGTTCATACAGGAAATCTTGAGCTCTCGATAGGAGTAAATCTGGTTTCAGAAGCTGTTAAGTGTTTTCCTGGCTGCCTGAAGCAGGCTCTTCCTCGGGAGTCGTGCACACTGCTGATTATTTTATCGACATCCTCAATACAGACAAATTCAGGAAACACTCGACTTCTGATAGCCGGGATCCGTTTTTCTGATATTGTTCATTTCCTCTGTGTGGGATGTGACTTTATGACAGCTAAAATAACCAGTTGCTTCCTATTTTTTGAGTCTGTTTTGCACCAGAATTACTAAAGCCTGACGCAAGCAAAATCTCGAAAAACAATGCTGCATTTGAAAGGGTATAGCCAGAAAGGCAAACAGTGACTCGAGGGCTCTAAGTGGAGAGCCGCGGGACTCAGGGCCACTGCAGCTTGTTTAACTGAGTTTGATGTAATTAAGTGTGAATTGCTGCACCTCCTGTCGTAGACACTGCATACAGCCATTAGACCCAAGAGCTAAATTTCGATTGCTCATGTTAAGGTAATTAAACCCCAATTGCCTACGCGCCTTGGGGGTCTCAGACAACTCACCTACTGGTGTTTGGTAGTTAGCCTCAGCTTAGTGGGTGTGATCGATGTGGTTCTACAAAACACAGCTAAACCAAGAGATCCCAGGTTAGGTATCCCCACAGAAATGCTGCCAGGACGTGGGGAGGGTGAAGCATACATGATGACAGAGCTTCCTAGCACAAACCACTGACAGACTCCAGGTCCTGAACACTTCAGTACAGCATGCGGGCAACGTTTGCACCGAGAACTCAGGGTAGTTTCTTTGGGTCCTTACAGTGAAAGAGCAGAAGGAAGCAAAGTTTTTTTCTCTCTCTCTCTCTTTTCTTTGCGAGATAGACCAACAGGAAACACATTGACGGAAATGTTGCCATAGCCCTTTAACTGGTCTCCCCTGCTCTGACTGATGAAAAAAAATCAGAGGCGAAAGGGCAAACTGGGGCTGAAAGGGCAGGACTGCAAAGCGCCTCCGAGCTGCACTGCGCCCAGCACTTGCAGTCCCCTGGCTGGCCAGGGCTGCACTCGAGTGCAAAGCCAGTCTGCGCTCAGCGCGGCCCGGTGGGCATCAGCTCCAGCTCCCGCTCCCGCTCCCGGCCTGACACTGCCACTCAGGGCTTGTGCCTCTCTTGCAGGGAAGCCCCTGCTCTGGAGTCCCTTCATCCAGCGGCCGCTGCACAAGCGGAAAGGGGGGCAAGTGCGCTTCTCCAATGACCAGACCATTGAGCTGGAGAAGAAGTTCGAGACCCAAAAGTATCTCTCGCCGCCGGAAAGAAAGCGCCTGGCCAAGATGCTCCAGCTCAGCGAGAGGCAGGTGAGGCCGAGCAAATCTCCCCCGGCACGTGGGAATGATAGTATGGGGCTGCCATGCCTAGGCCCCACAGGCTGCGCATGGGCCTCGTCCTGCTTTTGTGAGAGCCACGGCCACAGCTCCCCTTAACTGACGTGGGAGCAGGGTGCCCCCCCAACCAGCGCTCCCCAGACGTGTGAATCCCGGTGGGTTCCGCCGTCTTCTTGGCGTAAATTTGGCGCTCTATCGCCCTGGTTGCAATCCGGAGTGTCTACCTTCTGCGAGTTTACACTGGACTGGCTGAATAGCCTGCTTTTTTGCTGCTTCTTCCCCCCCCCCCCTCTTTTTCTGCTCGAACAAATGGACTTTGTTTTAAGCTGAGCCTGGAATATACCGAAGGTGGGACAATCTTTATACCTATTTTCTGTTGTTTTAGGTCAAAACGTGGTTTCAGAATCGCAGAGCTAAATGGAGGCGCCTAAAGCAGGTATCTGGACGTTTCTGTTTCTATATAAATAAGTATTTTAATCATCTTATCGTAAAACGTGATCGCCAATTCCCGCTTGTATGCAAAAGTCATTTGAAAGGCTGTTTAACCTCTTCACCTTGATTAAAAAGGCAAATAGTCATGCTGGAATCCAGGATGGCTTGCTCAGGCAGCACTAATGTTAAAAGCTCCTAATGTAGTTCCTATATCAATTATGCCTGGGTTTTCACACACTGCCTATTAAAACTCCACACTAATTGTTTTGTAAACCCATATGTTGTTTATCTAATTAACGCAGAGAAGATAACTAATTGTCAGTAAATTGCTTAGGCAGTTGCCTTTCCGAGAATATTTGCTTGTCCTTTTAATTACATATTTATAACTAGTACAGACAGATTTATATTGATGTTGTCAAATAAATGTACAAAAGTCTGCTTGTTTTGAATCCTAAGAAAAAAACAAGTGTCTTGTTAGTTCATTTATTTTTGGGGCAGTCACCTAGAGCATATTAGACTGGAAGTTAAAATACTTCCCCTCCCCCCAAATAAATTGTAAACATGTTATTAAATTGTTATTTATAAATAAAAGGAGACTGATCCTGCAGTATTTATTAAGCTACCATTGATATGTCTGATAAAGAGCTTTAAAATTGTGTAGAGATGAAAAAGATGAAAAATACCAACATCGTGTTCAGTTTAATCCTCCAATAAACACAAAGTGAAGATTTGTTTTGTTTTTCATCAGTAATTCTGGGGAAATATGTGCTAATGAAAAATAAGGATTAACTGTAGTATGTAGTTGCTGACCGTGTTAACTATATGAACATTTTTCGGGGTCCTCTTTTCCTGCCTCTACTTTTATTAGCAATTCCTGCTTAATGCAGAGCTGTACTTATGCAATAGAAATACTTACTTTCAAGGAAGTAATTTTCCTTGAGAAACATGCAGTGGATTGACTCCTACTCTAAAATATCTTCAGATATTGCTGAATCTGGGACATTTTAAGTCATTACCTCCTCTTTAGTTGGTCAGGTCCCTTCCTCTGCTGCCTCACAGGGATGTATCGGGATAGATTTCAACCTAAGCTTTCTCTTTGCTCCAGAAAGATTCATGCCTCCTAAATCATTTTGAAATTGGCCTTTTTAATGTATCCCTTTCTCATTTCTTTACAATGACCTTGTAAAGCTCATTGAAGCCAAAGGCAGTTTTGTCATTGGTTTCTGTGAAAGGAAGATCAGGTCTGGAAAAAAGCAGCTGGTTAGTTTGTGCATTTTAAAGAAACATTTTCTTTTCTGGGAACAAAATCACTTTCAAAATGATTCTAGGTCAAGGTTCTTGCTATTCGCAATGATTATATTGCTTAGGAGCCTGGTGTCACTGAGCCCATGACAAAATTGCTAGTGATTATAATGGGAGCAGAAACAAGTCCATACGGATCCTTACATTTGTGAGGCCTCTTACCTGTCCTGTCCCTTCTCATTTTGGTGCCAGCATAGTTCCTTCCTTTATGGTCCTTTACGCCCACCTGCTCAGTAGGCCAGAAGTGCTCACCTTCCTTTATGGTCCTTTACACCCACCTGCTCAGTAGGCCAGAAGTGCTCACAGCTGTACACAGGCGTTTCAGAAGAATTTAACAAGCAGACCAGTGTATTGAATTGCAATGGCCTACACCGCCTGAAAATGCCTCAGCATTACAGGCGTAGAGGACCCTCCCTCCCCACAAACACACAAAAATCAATTTCCCTCACAACATTGCCCTACCTCATGAATGTTTTGTTTGTGTTAGCTGTATTTTGGTGTCAACCGAGCTGGTTGTTTACTGATTATTTTTAGGAGAACCCTCAAGGCAGCAAAAAAGAAGAAACTGAAAGTGTGGACAGCCACTGTGATAAAAGGCAAGAGAGCTGCCTGACCCCAGAGCAGAAGAATAAAGAAGTCTCTCTCGATGGGTCTCAGTATACTCCTTCCCCAGTCTCTCAGGAGGATGTGGAGTCGGAAATCTCAGATGATTCCGATCAAGAAGTGGACATTGAAGGTGATAAAGGGTATTATAATTCTACCCACTAATGCTCCACACTTAGAAGGGACCCTAACTCAGCTTGCACTTTAATAGGAACTGGCTTGTAAAGAATGTTTTGCTACAGAAGAAAACTTTCACCATTTATTTGTTGAAGACAACCCCATAAACTAGTTTTGTAAATCTAAAGCCAAACCATTTTGTGCAGATAGTTGATTCATGGGAAAATCTTTATTTTGGATAAAGGAACAGGTCCTCATTTTGTATTTAATTTGTAAGATATAGTTGTACATTGATTAATGTTTTAACTGGAATATAATAATACTACTTCCTGTCTTTACTGACTTGGGTCTGACCCAGCTCTCTTTGCAGTCAGGCAGAACTCCAATTTATTTCAACTGGAAGTCAATCAGTGTCAACTGCAGGTCTCAGACCTTTGTATATACAACTTTTTAGCTTGAAAAAAGAGACTGTTTTTAAGTCTCTTTTCCTCATAAAGGAATATATTTAATAAAATGGAGAGGGATTTGATAATTCCCATAAAGTGCCTTATACCTTCCCTCTCATGACACACATGGTGCTTTTCTTCAAGACATTATTCTATTTATGCTATGGCCATTTGTAAAAGCAGATTGTTATCTTTATATTACACACAGTATATATATCCTTTTGATTCTGGGGCCCATGGAGATGTTGCCTTGAAATCTGTCTGATTCTGTTGATAGAAATACTTTTGATTAAAATCTATCAAGCTGGTTTCGCCTGATTTATAATTTACTCCATCTGATTCACAAGAAAATGTGACAAGTGATAGGGTCCTACTACTGGAGAAAAACTGACATCAGCTGCTGGATGGTAAGGTAGGCATACATTAGCAGTGGGAAATTAATACCTGTTGTATACATACCTGTCTCTGTATATATTCCTTTGCTTTAGAAGTCTTGCTGTTTTATACCTCACATTGTTCATATTCTGTACATATGTTTGTTTTTTAAAGCCCCAAACTGGTATTTAAGTTTTTGTTGAAGAACTTGTCTGTGAAATAAAACTGAACTCTGGACCACCCGAGATACTGGGCAGTCACTTCTTTGAAACTTGCATGTTTGCAATAGAATTTGTTACTTTTTTTTCCAAAACGCCTTTAATCCCTCCCATTTCCAGCCTATCAGACAACTGAAAAAAAAGCAACTTTCCCTCTGAGTTTATTGGTGAGCTGGGTCATGAAACTGAGCTCCTGGCTTTAGTGGCTTCTGAGCAACCCCATGCTCAAACTCGGTTGAATTTGGAATTGCTTTTCTATTACTGCCTGAAGCTCCACCCTACAGCTTTATGCCGTCTGTAAAATATCCCCTGCCCACCGGAATGCCATGCCCTCTGTTAGCCAGATAGCAAAGGGGAAGTTTTGAAGTGTGTCAATCCTGTTGTAAAGTTTTACAGGGAGCTCTTAAGTGATCCAAGTATTTGGAGAGAGGAAGAAAAAGGGAAACTTAAATCAAAGTGGACGTTGGGTGGATTAAAAATGAAAACCTTTGTGGCTGGCTGGGGAAGGTATTGATTTCACTGGCGCTGCCTGGATCTGGCTGCCGTTGACCTGCCTGAGTCAATAATGGTTATTTATTTTAGCCGCCATTCTCCGAAACCAGGCGAGTCTCGTGGGAAGGGGAGCCCCAGGGAATAAAGGGGAGCGGAAGTCAGGGATCTGCCGGGGAAACGGGGATGGTAGAGGATTAAGCTAAGGACAATAATGATAACGGACACTGTAATATACTAACCCAGCCTCTGCCTTCGTGCAGCATTCTGCAGCGTGTTGCCCCCTAAACGCCCCCGCGGACTTGCTCCGATTCTCTCAAATCAATCCCGAGCCTGGGGGGGGGGGGGAAGGAGGGAAGGGGAGGGAGCCACGTCTACCCTGCCCCACAGACAGAAGTCTGTGAGAGCCTCGGGGCCAGGGTTTCTCCTCAGCCAGTGCCCTGAAGCAGGGTGCTCCAAAGGGAGTGGTGGAAACGGGGCCCCGAGAGACAGCTCCTCAAACAGGTTTGCAAAGGGGGGTTGCTACCCAGGAGCAGCTGGATACCCCAAACTAGCTGCTAACGAGCGTCACTGCAGGGTTCCTGGGGACTTGTGCGGGGAAGGGTGTGTGTGAAGTGTCACAGGGAACCCAACCGGACGGTGTTTTCCCCAGACAGGGTTCCGAGCGTAGCCAGCTGGCACAGGGCGACTGCCCGGAGCTGGGGAAGAAATGGCAGCTCTGTGAAGGTCTTTTCCGGTTCAGCTGTGAGCCAGACTCTGGCCGGGCAAACAACCCTGTGGCCTAGGAAATCTCCCAGTTGCCGGACTAAAGATGGCAGAAGCTAGTTACCCTCTTATCAAGCCTTCCCTAAAGGCCCATCTCTGGGGAGAGCTCCTTCTCCAGGACAGGAAAGTGCCTTATGCCCTCAGAGTTATTGAAGCGCTGCGCTTTCTGCCAGCCCCAGGTCTCCGAGGGAGAGGGACCAGTTCCTGCCTATGCACGTCAGTGGGAGCCTTGGGTGCTGCAGGCCACGCGGGTGCAATTGAAAACAGAGTCCCACACAGCCCAGTGCGGCTTCCCCCTGGTTTCAAAAAGCCTGTTGTGTCCATCTCGGCTCCTGGGACTTCCCAGTTCCCTTTGGTTCACGCTTGAGCCGTGTTCCTACAGGAGCTGACACGGCTCCTGGCAGCTGCCCTCCCTTCTGTGATGAGATGGAGGCTGCCCAGGAAACATTCTTTTCCTTGGCAGCCCCACAGCACTCTCCGAGCCGGGGCTGGAACCAGGCACGTTTTCCGTGGGGAGGACATGTGTGAGAGTGTAAGTGGCAGGGATTGTTTTCTCTACAGCTGTGTGAACCAGAGAGGAAATTACCTTTGAAAACAAAAAGCCTTTCCCATAAGTAATTTGGGTTCCGAGTAACGGGGCTGCTGTAGGCTGCAACTTTGTCCTTTTTTTCCGGTGAGTGCAAGGCAGTGAGTGCAAGGGCTGCGACGGGAAAGAAGGACTTTTCTCTAGCGCGTGTGCGTGTCCTTGGCAGACTACAACAGCTGGATCTCTCTAGCCCTACTCTGGTCAAACTCATCCAGAAGTCAATGAATGGGACCCTCCCAGAGTAAAGACTAGAACCCAACGGAGCTAATTCCAGATGTGCTTCTACACATAAAGACAGCTTATATTAGGTTTCTCTTTCGTGCCCATCACCGTAGCATCTAAGCAAGGGAGTCCAAGTATTTCTTTGTTAACAACTGCTGTGTGTTTGTGGCTTGACATAAGCGGCTACTTATGCTGGTTTAAAGGCGCTGTAACTCCATAGCAGTCAATACACAGACAACAGACGGTGGCTTTATTTTCAGAATCGCCCCACTGTGAGAGCCAGCGAATCTATTCTTGTGAAATAGAAAGAAAGGGACAGGGTAGATTGCTACAGGCGTCTGCTCTACTTCGTTAGGCTTCAGGGGATTTCAGGTCTTGGAACTCAGCACTTTGATTTAGGTTAGTACTGAAACGCACAGTCCTTTACAGTCTTATTTGCCTTCTGCAGGTGTCCTCAGGGGGCCAAATTCTGCTCCCCACCAAAAAACTTCCAAATGGGTGCCACTGCATTCAATAGGATTGCACATAACTGAGAGAAGGATTTTACCTAGAGGACCTACTTCAGGAGTGGTGTTAGTGGACGGAAACCTATGGACAAATCTGGGTCAAAATCAGAGATTTGCTCTATTCGTATCTGCTTGTCCTGTTTTGTCTCACCTACTGAATGCCAGTTTGTTTCTTAATTTATGTCACCTTTCAGAAAGCCCCTATTGACTGAATTTTATCTTTGTAACCCGAATATACCCAGAGTCTAAAATACCTACCTACATACCGACCTTTAGCCTTTTTTATTCCCGATGCGGGTGCACAGCACACCTCACCAAAGCTGAGCTCAAACAGAGCTTTGCTATGGCCAAAGAGAGATTTTCTAAAGAGACATAGAGATTTCCGTGGAACTGCCCGATTTTGTCAGGGTAAGACCTGTAAAACTTCCCACAGGGCTAAGCTATGATCTGACATTCTTGGGGAATTGCATTTCTATAACATCCTGTGGGGTTGAGATTTGGATACTAAGTGCACAGCAGAATCCAGTGTATTTCCTCCGCATTGAAACCAAGACCAGGCAACATCAAGAAATCAGCGACTTATCCCCGGAGCTGGGCAGGGAGGAAGTCAGGCTGAAAAACTACAATGTATAAACCAGAACCGGGAGCAGACGATGGCGCGGTTTATCTCAAAGGCATCTGAGATTTGGGGCTCGCTGCAGCCTTTGGAAGATTAGCGCGGAGCCCACTTTTTCTCTCTACAGTAAACCACCCTATTAGTGCCACACTCGTTTTCTTTCTATTCGGAGCTCTCTGGCATAGAGGCGTTTAATGCGAGGCAAAGACTGTTCCAGGGATAGGTGGTAGTTTTACCGAAGATAGCACAAGCCAGTAGAGCAAATTTATCAGATACCGTTTTCTTACCGGGCATCTAAATAGCTTAATCCGTTGAGCACAACTGACTCATTTCTCTGCCTACATTTACCCCTTGTTTTTTTTAAGTTGTTCACCCTTCGGAATCTGTATCGAAGGAAGGTTTCATTAAAGAAATATGCGGGGTCTTATAGCACCCATTTCTACAGCCTCGCCAATTACAACTGGAAATTGTAAAACAAAGATGTTTCTTTTTATACAGAAAGGTAGCTCGCTTTCTTTCTTTCTTTCTTTCTTTCTTTCTTTCTTTCTTTCTTTCTTTCTTTCTTTCTTTCTTTCTTTCTTTCTTTCTTTCTTTCTTTCTTTCTTTCTTTCTTTCTTTCTTTCTTTCTTTCTTTCTTTCTTTCTTTCTTTCTTTCTTTCTTTCTTTCTTTCTTTCTTTCTTTCTTTCTTTCTTTCTTTCTTTCTTTCTTTCTTTCTTTCTTTCTTTCGCAAATATTCTGCTGATTTTTAAGAACTAATCAAATCATATCAAATACAACATAACGACAGAGCTGCCGGGTACAGGTAAATGTTAAAATCCCTCAGTTGATTTTGCACCGGAGAAGTTCCGCACTTTTCCGATAGTTTAATGCCTTAAAAAAAACCAGATGTGAAATTCCTCAGTGGTATACACGATGCTAACGCTTATCTATTAATACACTAAGTAGAAGCTCCACATTATCCTTGTAGCAGAGCGGGCTTATAACATACACAGGTTTCTCTATATAACGTACAGATTTCTGGTCGGAATTCATTCAAGCAGGTAAAATAGCCCCTTCACATTTTCCTTCTTCCCTCTGTTAACATTTCTGTGTCTTATTTAAATGTCGCGCCCATTTGACTGCTAGAGAAAGGACAGAGAGACCCGTTGTCACACGCTAGAGCTGAAACAATGATCCCGCTATTCGGCTATAGGGACATTGTACAGATTTGAGGGTGTCTTCTCCCCGCCGAGAACACATCCCAGCCAGGCACGAGGGCTGACTTTGTTTATTCAGCACATTCGTTATGTAAAACCGTGTTTTCCTTGGGCGTCCAAAGGGCCCGATCTTGCAGCCCACAAAGACACAATTTCGATGCCAACGAAAGGCTGCAGAATGGGGCCCATCAGCAGGGATGCGGGCGTTGCAAGTGAGCTGCCTCTGCAGAAAGCAGCCAGAAGACCGATTCGGATAAAGCGGTCGCGAGCGTGCACAGATTGACGCTGCTGGAGAAGCGACCCCCCACCCCCGCCTGTGTGGGGGGGTGAAAGTAGCTGGGAACCTCCGGTGCTGTGTCCGACACATGAGTCTCTACAGACAGCGGATCACTTTCATCACAGAAACGGGACTCGGTAAATATCCACCTCGAGGGGGCGAGGAGGCGCACTGAGTTAAAGGCATTTTCCAAGCGAGAATCGTGACATTTGCTGTCACTAGAGCTGCTCTTTCATACAACCTGTTTATCGAATGCAGCGCTGATACTTAAAATCCGAAATTAGTCCGTCTTGCACCATATAAGTCAGGCATTTCCGAGCAGTTGGCAAGACAGTTATTACCCGCACTTAGACTGAAACATGCCCG